TTGATGCTGTCAAATCCATTGTTCGCGGAAACGAAAAAGGGGTGGGGGGGGGCAGAGGGGGCGGGGGAACGTTGGCGGATGGGGAGGGGCGAAAGTGTAGGGGGGATGGGGGGGAGGACAGGGGAGGCGAAACAAGGGTGTGTGTGTGTGTGTGCGTAATGGAGGATGACCGCGAAGAGGAGGAGGAGGAGAACGAGGAGGAGGAGGAGGAGGAGGAGGAGGAGGAGGAGGAGGAGGAGGAGGAGGAGGAGGAGGAGTGGTGGCTTGCGAGGGCGCGTGCCCCCTCAGCTTGGGATGGGAACGCCGCAGGCACGGCCTGCCCGCGCGCTGTCGTGGTTCGGCTGGCGGCTCGCAGAATCGCATGCCGCTCCGTATTGGCTTCTCCTCGCGTGGCTCCGAGGATCGGGGACCGATGTGATTTTTGTGTGCAAGTGTCGTATAGGATGTATGTATGTCTGTATATATGTACGTACGCATGTATATGTCTGTCGGTCTGTCTGTTTGTCTGCATGCATGCACGTATGTTTTATACATACATATACACAAGTCTGTGTATGTATTAGTGCACCCGCGCATGTTTTGTCCCCCGGTCCTTTTTCGGCATCCCAGAGGCTCTTCGTCGTCACGGCTGGATTCGCCTCGACCTTCTGATCCAGACGCGCATTCGACATACTTAGTTTCATAGCAACCATACGAATCACACAATTATTAACAACAACCCCAATGAAACACGGATACTAATGATACTGAACATAGTTAACACAGCAATCATCATAGTATGCATAGTAAGGGGTCTTGGAGGAGGTGGGGGAAAACGAGGAGAAGGACGAGAACGACGACGAAGAAATGGAGGAGGAGGAGGCGGAGGAGGAGGAGGAGGAGGAGGAGGAGGAGGAGGAGGAGGGGGAGGAGTGCGAGGAGGGAGGAGGGGGAGGAGGGGAGGAGGAGGAGGAGGAGGAGGAGGAGGAGGAGGAGGAGGAGGAGGAGGAGGAGGAGGAGGAGGAGGAGGAGGAGGAGGAGAGAGGAGGAGGGGGGGGAGGACGACGAGGACGAGGACGAAGACGGGGAGGGGGAGGAGGAAGGGGAAATGGAGGGAGGAGGAGGAAGCCTGGAACCCCAGGACCCACAAGAACCCACCAGAATCGTACAGGACCTGCAAGCATCCAAAACCTCCCTCACTTTTTTGTTGCTCTTCTCTCTCTCGGCCTCGGAGTTCTCCGATCGCGGCCATACCCCCCAAGAGCCGGTCGGCCCTGGGGGGGGGGGGGGGGGGATGACCAAATTCAGCGAAGTGCAGCGTCTGGCGGCGCGGGGGCAGACGAAGGTAGGAAGGCGAGGGGCCGAAAGGGGGAGGACGAAAGGGTCCTGAGCCGAAGCACGAAACAGGAATGTTGGAGGAGGGCAAGGAAGGGGCCCCCCAGACACAGAAAGGCCGACAAAGCCCCTCGGAGGAGGGATGGGAGGGGGGGAAAAGGGTGGCCGAGGACGGCGGGGGGAGGGGGTGGAGACGGGAGGGCACGGGGTTGCCCCTGGTATCGGGCGCGGCGCGCGCCGCGGGTCTCCTCGACCTCCTCTTAGTTCTCTCCCCCCTCCTTCCGGCGGCACAGGGCGCCGCCTCCCGGGCCTCTCAGGCCCTCGGACTCCTCGCTGGAGCTCCGGTAGACGCTGGGATTGCCGTGGAAGTAGGTTTGCTCCGGTGGTCGGTGGGTGGTGCCGACTCTGGTTGTAGTTGCCATGGTGGCAAGCAACTGGCCTCTTGGCTTCGCGCCTATGGTTCGGCGCTGGTAGGAAACCCTTCTCGAAGCCGTCTTGGTGGCCGCGGCCGTCGTGAGGGGGCGTTGGGGGGAACGGGGAGCGTTGTGGGGAAGGGAGGAGGATGATCATCTCCCGTGGGGCTACTGCCGCCTCTGTCGCCAGGGGGCAGGTGTGTCGCGGGGAGGAGCCTCGGGGGGAGTTCTTGCGGCGCCACGGGGTGTCGTGGTCAGGGGCGTCGCCGTGGTCGTGGTCGCGGCGCTGGTCGGTGGCGCCGCGGGGCAGGGGCTCGAGCAGGAGAGGGGCCCATGTTGGACCCGTGCCGATCTCCTCCAGGGGGCCAAGGAGGGATCCAGTCGGGCCGGACGAAAAGGTGGGATTGGGAAAGGGGGGGTTACGAAATCTGCTGCGTGCAGCTGGTTTAAGCTCTGCCGCCGGGCCCATTCTTCGATACATGGACGCCTCCGGTGCCGGGAGGCGCCGGGAACATCAGATACGTGAGCTGATTCTCACCCCCCCCTTTGCTGTCCCCCCCCCTTTCGCCCGGCCCGATCCAGTCGGCGCGTCCGTCGTGGTCAAGGTCCCACTCGGCGGGCGCCTCGTCGCCGCCATCGGCGGCTTCTCGCGCGCTGGTGCGCCGCGAATGCCGCCGGCTCGACGATGGAGACGTTCGGGGGCGGCCTGGGCACCAGACGTCTCCACAGCGTCGATGCGCGCCCTCGCAGTGTCTTGGATCGCCTCCCTGCGGTCAGCGCAGTGGTCGAGTTGGTCCTCGAGGTCCTAGCTGAAGATCTCCCAGGGCCTGCGGATTGTTGCCAGGATGGGCTTGCTGTGCCGCGTGCTGGGCCGGGACAGGTCGGCTTGTCCATCCTCGCGCCCCACGGGGATGGTGTCGGCCGAGCGGCGACGTGGTTTCCATTGATTTCAACCCTGTAAGACAGTTTTATTTTTTATATACGCCCGTGTATGCCATCACTGGCGTCTGCGTCGCTAGGCGGGGGGGCGTCGTCGTGGTCGTCCACACCGTCGCGGCGGGAGTTGTCCTCGTCTCCGTCGGAGCAAGGCCGTCCAGAGGGCCCGTGGCGGGGGGCCGCCGCGAGGTCTGTCGCGGGGGCCGTGGTTGAGGCCGTCTCGGGGTGCCGTCGCGGGGGTCGTCGCCTGGAGGCCGTCGTAGGGGCGCGGGGCGCTGGCCTGGGCGTCGCGGAGAGCGTCGGGGAGGGCGCCGCGAGGGACGTCGGCTGGGCCGTCCTCGCGCCAGTCTTGGCGGCCGTCGGCGTCGGCGTCGTAGGGGGGGAGGCTTCGTCGTGGTCGGAGTCGTTGTCGTGGCGGGCGTCGTCTTTGTCTCCTTCTGAGTGGGGCCGCTGTGGGAGACGTAGTGGGGGCAGCCGTGGGGGGCCGTACTTAGCAGGGTCTGCGGCGGGGGCCGTGGTCGGGGCCGTCGCGGGGGGTTGCCGCGGGGGCCGTCGCGCGTTGGCCGTCGTGGGGGGCCGTCGTGATGGTGGTGGTGGGCCGTGGGAGTTCTCGGGTTGGGTGGGGGGTCGTGTGGCCGACGGGGGAGGGCGGGTCGGGGGCCCCAGAGAGTGTTCACGGCTGTCGCTATAGGACCGCTTCCCCTGGTGTGTCCCCAGCGGGCTCCCTCTTCGGGCATGTGGCCTTTCGGGATCCTGCCGAGGGGCCAGCGGCGCAGGCTGCGGGCTGGCCAGCCGCCCCCATGGCCGCTTCCCCAGGTAGGCCCCCCATGGGGTCCCCCTCAGGGCATGCGGCCACTCCGGGCGCGGCAGTCGCGGTGGCCGTCGGGTGGGGGGGGGGGGGCGAGGGGGCCGTCGTGGGGGTCGTCGTTCCTCCGCTTCCTCCTCCTCCTCCTCCTCCTCCTCCTCCTCCTCCTTCTCTTTTTCCTCCTCCTTCCTCTCGACCGTCAATCCTCGAGGGGGAGGGGGAGGAGGAGGAAAAGGATGGCAGGGAGAGGAGGAGGAGGAGGAGGGAGGAGGAGGAGGAGGAGGAGGAGGAGGAGGAGGAGGAGGAGGAGGAGGAGGAGGAGGAGGACCAGTGTAAACCCAAGACTCATCAACGACATTGGAATTTGGCCTCCCTCCAAACTCCCCGTCATAGCCCCCCCCCACAAGGATCCATTTCCACGGATAGAAGTGCCTTGTTGGAAGACATCATTTTGAAGATTTCCAAGCGTGCCAAAACACCGTTCTGGGGACACCATCGCCACGAATCAACCTGACTGTTGCGTCTTGACGATCTAGAACGCCACTCTTGGGACTTCAGCGCCGCGAATCAACGTACCTGTTGCGCCCTGTCAATCCAGAAGCGTTCCAAAAAGACAAGTGTGCACGGCGCTAAGGCGAGAGCCACATTTTGAAAAGGTATCGCCCTCCATCCGTGAAGCTCTGGCAATATGTAAGACGAATCTGCGCGACGCTAATGTGAGAGCCACATTTTGAGAACGTCCCGCCCTCCATCAGTTGAACTTTTGCAATGTTTAAGACGAGTGTGCGCGGCGCAAAGGCCAGAGCCACATTAAAAAAGCGGCCCGCCCTCAATCCGTGATGCTGTTGCAGTTTTTTTACAAGCGAATGTATGCGGCGCTGTGGCGAGAGCCACATTTTGGAAGCGACCCGCTCTCAATTTGTGAACCTGTTGGCAGTTCTTAAGCTTCAGGATCAGAAATGGTGAGGAGGTTTCAGGCGACACGCCTGGGCCGCCCTTCGACCAGCCTCGGGGTGCGACAGGGAGGAGTCACTTATAAGGAAAAGGAAGGGAGGAGGAAAAGGATTAAGAAGAGGAGAGGATGACCCCTCCAAAAGGAACACGGTGTAGAAGGCAGGTTCGAGGTATTAGGAGACAGGCGGAGGGAGCGAGAGGAAGGAAACGGACGTACAGACAAGTTTCAGAAGCCTCTCCCGTTCGCACGTGGACCTGATCCGCTTCAGATTTTCGTCACGTCAGACCCACGTCCTGCAACCCGGCTTTCCTTGACACCACGCGTTTGGCGCGCCTGCCGCCCTTCCTCCTTGGGTCTCTTTTTGGGCGACGACAGACTCTTTCGTCCGTTCTCCCCTTCGGACACGTCTTTCCGGTTTCGACTCTCATCCGACTGCGCTCTCCGATTCCCGCTCCCGCCCTTCCGACTCCTGACTCGGGCCCCGGCCCGCCCGCGCTGCCCTCGAAGGGCCGGTCCGTCGGACTCGACGAAGTGCGCTTCGTTCCGCTCCGTTGCGCTCCGCTCTCCGCGATCCCAGACGGCCACCACCAGCTCGACGAGCAGCTCGGTGACGACCGGCTCGGCAACGACCACCTCGAGCACCGCCCTCGCTGCCACTGCCCGCGCGTGCGCGCGGCCCCGTCGGCCCTCGCGAAGGGGGGCCCCGACCAGCGGCGCGGGCTGATCGTGGCGGCCTGCGCGGTCGACCTGCGCGGTCGACCTGCGCGGTCGGCCTGCCCGGTCGGCCTCGCCATGAGTCTGGGCATCCCAGATGGGGTTCGAGAAGATGGGGTCGAAGGATCGCCCCGCATCGCCGATGCATCGGCGATGCGGCTCGATGTGGCTCCCGTTTTCGCACACGATGGCGTCGCCGATGCATGGCCGATGCATCGGCCCTGCATCGGCATTGAGGGGCGATCCTCCGACCCCAACTTCTCGGACCCCATGTGAGAGGCCTCTAATGAAGCAAGCGTGTCCTGAGGGAATCGGGCCCTGTTTTTTGTTTCGCCGTTCTTGGCTTTGCAGGGCCCTCCACGGACCCTGGGACTTCATACGTAAATGATTCAGGATGCAGAGCTGGTCATGGGAGGAAGGCCCCGGGGTTCAGTCGGGCATGTCCCTCTACAGGAAGATCATAAAAAAACAAATGCTCTGGGGGCGATTTTTCTGCTATTCCTGACCATTCTTGAGCATCTGTGGACCATTTTTCATTGTTCTTCCAAGATCCGTCTGTGGGAGGACATGCCCGACCTAACCCTGGGGTTCAGACCCGCTTCCCTCAGGGCCTGCTTGCAGCATGCTGCAGACGTCAGAGTGTCAGGAGGGAAAGAGACACACAGACATAATCAATCGTCGACTACCAGGAAAATGCGGCAAAATATGGGAAGTGGGGGGGAAGACGAAAACCCAGAAGATATGCGAAACTATCTGGAATCCTGGGATCTGTGTTCATCTGTCTGTGTGTCCCTGGGCCCCTTCAGAGTGACCCGTCGCCGGCGTGACCCCTTGGGGTGCGCGGCTTTCGAGCGGGCGCGGCGAGGGCCCATCCCGAGCACGCGGGCGGCCACGGGCTGCACCACGTGCGCAGCTCGGCAGGCGGCGCACCTCGGAGGGGTCGCTCTCGCCTTGGGGGCGTCGCTCCCGCGTGCAAGGCAGGTGGGGCGCGGCGGCGCGCACCGAGGGGGGCGGCGCTACAGTGAAGCCGGGCCTGTCCCTCTACAGTCGGGGGTGGACAGAACCCCCAACAGTGACACGTCGATTAGTGAATTGTCCGTTTTCGGTTCTCGAGATGGCGCCGTGGCCGTTATTTTCCAGGCTTGCGCCCGCCAGGGTTGGGCCTCAGGTCGTCTTCACTAAACCACGTTTTACTAAAGGGGGGTCTGTCCATCCCCGATACAGGGGGAAGACTCAAAGATGGTCGAAAGATAGTCTGGGGACTATGTTCTGCCAGTTTCTGAGCATGCTTGGGGTATTTCTGGGGCAGTCTTACTCTCTCAGCCAAAATCCTCCTGTATGGGGGACGTGCCCGACCTGACGCTGTAGGGGGTCGGATGTCCAGGAAGTCGGGGGAGGGCTTCCGAGGAGGCGGGCGAACGCTGCCGGAGAACGGGTCCGACGGCGCCGACCTGGGCGCGCAGGCTGCCGGCGCAAGTTCGCGCGCAGGGGCCCTCGTTCTTCCAGGGCAGCGTGCCGTGCCGGCGGCCCGCGTGAGCCACCGCGGAAGGTCGCTGTGCCGTTCCGCGCGTAAGACCCGTTTCCTTCTAAGGAGGACCCTGCCTTGGAGAGGCCACCTGCCTGCTCCAAAAGGCCCCCCCCCCTTCGCGACGCCCCTTTTTTGTGCGCGTCGCCGAGGAGTGGATCCGGGCATGCGGCGGAGGCTTCCCCAGCCATCCTGTTTGGGGTCCCCGCTTTGAATGGACGGTCCCCGCGTCGCTCCCCGCGTCTCCTCTCCTCTCCTCCTCCCTCTCCTTGCCTGTGCCCTCATCAGTATACGTATCCCGCACCCAGTACAGCGTTTCGTGGCCCCATAGGGAGCTCCACCGAAGGCCCCAGTGGCTGCTCTCGCATGCGGGGCCCCAATGCTGTGCAGCGTTTCGTGGCCACACAGGGAGCTGAAGGCCTCAGTGGCTGCACTCGCATGCAGGGCCCCCGCGCTGCACAGCGTTGCGATAGGGAGCTCCACCGAAGGCCCCAGTGGCTGCGCTCGCATGCGGGACCCCCACGCTGTACAGCGCAGCGCTTCGTGGCCCCATAGGGAGCTCCACCGAAGGCCCACGTGGCTGCACTCGCATGCGCGACCCCCGCGCTGTACAGCGTTTCGTGGCCCCATAGGGAGCTTCCCTCCTCACCTCTGCCCTCATCAGTATGCGCCTCACCCACTCAGTACATCTCCACCCACCAAACCACCCCAACCCAACCCGAAGGGTCTGATTTACCCTCGATTTCTAGTAGGGGGGGGTCCGGGAACATCGAAAAAACACATGTGGAGCCCATACCCCCCCCAACCCGAAATTCGGGTCTTCGGGTTGGGTTGGGGTGGTCTGGTAGGTAGTCAGTACAGCGTTTCGTGGCCCCAGTGGCTGCTCTCGCATGCGGGACCACCACGCTGCACAGCGTTGCGATAGGGAGCTCCACCGAAGGCCCCAGTTGCTGATCTCGCATGCAGGACCCCCACCCAGTACAGCGATTCGTGGCCCCATAAGGCGCTCCACCGAAGGCCCCAGTGGCTGCTCTCGCATGCGGGGCCCTTTCGTGGCCCCACTGGTAGCTCCACCGAAGGCCCCAGTGGCTGCACTCGCAAGCGTCTCTCTCACCCGCAAGCGTCTCCCTCACCCAGTACAGCGTTTCGTGGCCCCAAAAGGAGCTCCACCGAAGGCCCCAGTAGCTGCGCTCGCATGCAGATTCCCCACGCTGTACAGCCTTTCGTTGCCCCATATGGAGCTCCACCGAAGGCCCCAGTGCTGCGCTCGCAGACGTTTCCCCCACGCTGTAAAGCGTTTCGTGGCCCCATAGGTAGCTCCACCGAAGGCCCCAGTACCATAGGGAGCTCCACCGAAGGCCCAAGTGGCTGCACTCGCATGCGTTTCCCCGCGCAGTGCAGCGTTTCGTGGCCCCGTAGGGAGCTCCACCAAAGGCGTCAGTGGCGGTGTCCGCATGCGTCTCCCCCGCCTAGTGAATTTTTTCGTGGCTCCATAGGGAGCTCCGCCGATAGGTCCCAGTGGCGGCCCCGCCCCATTGCGGCGCACCCCTCACACGTTTCGCGGCCCCATAGCGGGTTCCGCGTAAAGTCTCAATGGCGGCGCCCACATGGCGGCCCCGCCCCACATCGGCACACTCATTCTCATGCTTCATGGCCTCATGAGGAGATCCCCCGAAGGCGAAACCCACAACGACAGTATTCAAAACGGCATATGGCTTGGTCCTTCGCCAGGATACTTACTTCAATCGCGGCGCTTTCCTCCCTTGATTTTGATTTGTGTGTTTCGGCCCCAGGGCCTCGAAACATGGATCCTTGACACACCCTGTGGAGCGAGTCGGGACCACTGGGGCCTGCGGACTCGCGCCATGAAAAACGCAAGACGGATGATGTTTAGCAACTTATGGTTAGCTGGGGGCCTTGCCGGGCCTGGAACCGTTCAAAAATGGCTCAGGATGAAAATACAACCTCGGGGGACAACTCATGACGTCGGGGGTTTGGGTTGGTGGAGCTCCCGAGCTCAACCAACCCATCAGTCGTGAAGCTGGCAGTCTTCGTCTGCCCGACACCCGCGCGCCCTCTCCACGTCTGGGCCCCCCCCTCCCCAGCAGTTGCAGCAGATGCCGAAGTGCCCAGGGGGGCGGCACGGGGCTCTCCTGCGAGACGACAGCCAGCATGCGCCCGATCCTGGATGCTGCTCGCAGGGGCTCTGGACGGTCTCGGCCCCGTCTTGGGCCCCCCAGGGGCGGGGCCACCGAAGCCTTCCAGGGGGGTCCCCGGGGGCGTCCAGAGGCGTCCGTGGAGCCCTCCGCAGCCACCTCTGGGCGGCTCGTGAGAAGCCGCGGCTCCATCTCCTCCTCCTCCTCCTCCTCCTCCTCCTCCTCCTCCTCCTCCTCCTCCTCCTCAGCCTCCTCCTCCTCCCCTCCTCCTCCTCCCCTCCTCCCTCCTCCTCCTCCTCCTCCTCCTCCTCCCTCCTCCTCCTCCCTCCTCCTCCTCCTCCTCCTCTCCTCCTCCTCCCCTCCTCCTCCTCCTCCTCCTCCTCCTCCTCCCCCTCCCCCCCTCCCCCTCCTCCTCCTCCTCCCTCCCCTCCTCCTCTCCTCCTCCTCCTCCTCCTCCTCCTCCTCCTCCTCCTCCTCCTCCTCCTCCTCCCCCTCCTCCTCCTGCCCACCTCCAGCGTGCAACCAGCGGCCGCTGGCGCTGCCGTGTCTGTGAGAAGCGGCTCGGGACGAGGAGCCAGCTCCAGGGAGGGGCATTCGAAGGAGTCGAGAGCTCTGGGGTCCTGCGGCGCGGAAGGATCGAGCCGTCGGGCGTCCGGGTTTTCGCAGCCGGGTCGAGGTGGTGGCGTCGAAGCAGAAAAGCATAGGCATTCGCTTTCGAATGTCCGCGCGGGTTTCTTGGATCGGCGCTGGGGCTCCCTGGCGCCAGGGAAGAGGGGGCTCCCAGCGCCGATCCAAGAACTCCGCGCGGACCTTCGAACTTTTATGTTTCCGCCGTTTCTTCTTCTTCTTTTTCTTCTTCTTCTTCTTCTTCTCTTTCTGCTGTATCTTCTTCTTCTTCTTATTGTTTTTTGTGTGGTGGTCCTCGTTGCCGCTCTTGCCGTCGTCTATCCTCCACACCCGTGGATCTGCGACCGCTTGTGAACCCTACCCCTGCGGGTCCGATCGGTGCTGGGGTGTGGGGCACTCGCGCTGAGGCCTTGCTTGGCTGCAGACATCCTTCGGGTTCTGATCCCCGGCCAGTTTGTCAGAAGTCTGACCTGTCGGGATGGGGTTCACGCGGGGCGTTCCAGAAAGGGTCTCGCCTTCGGCCTTCGAGGATCGAAAGAGCTGGCATGTCCTCCCCAGCGGGATGGCGGCGGAAGGTCAGCGGAAGGCGGCGACAGCAAAAGCAGGGTGCCTCCGCCAGCGGAAGCCGGCAGAGGCCAACATCGGCCTCCCAAGAGATGGCAAGGTTTTGGGGCTCAGGGTTGTCGAAACCCGCTTCATGAGCGACGCAAATAACGGTTCTGATGGTGTCGACATTCGCGCGTGAGCTGCCCGCGTCAGGTCGCGCATGACCGCCCTCGTTTCCAGTGTGGCGTGCCGCGCTGGCGGCCCGCGTAAGCCTCCGCGTAAGGACGCTGTGCCATGTTGCGTGAGACCCGTTCTCTTCGTCGCTCACATGTGGCTGCTTACCGGAAGAGGGAAGGTGGAAGAGGGAAGGTGGAGGAGGGTCAGCCAGAGCGCCGGATCTTGCAGAGCCAGGGTTGCACTGACCCGGGCCGGCGCGCAGGATCCTGCAGGATCTTGCAGGACCTTGCAGGATCCTGCAAGACCCGACTGGCCTGGGTTTGCGTTGACCCGGGCCAGTAGATTCCCGAGAGGGGGACACGACGAAGACACAGAGTCTCCAAGGCGTGATTGTGCGGGCTGCCTGTTGGGCCCCGCCTCATGCCGCGGGCCAGCTGCTCAGGTCCTCGGCTGCTGTGGGGCGCGCGTGAACGTGCGCGTGCATGTGCCCATTGTCTCCATCTTGCATTTCATGGTGGTTCTTCGCCCTTCCTCCTCCTTCTCCTCCCTCCCCCCTTGCTGCTGGGGCTCCTCCTCCTATCCTCCTACTCCTTTTCCTCCTCCTCTTCCTCCTCCTCCTCCTCGTCCTCTTCCTCCTCCTCCTTTCCCTCCTCCTCCTCCTCCTCCTCCTCCTCCTCCTCCTCTCCACCGTGATCCCTTTCGTAAAAGGCGCTCCGGCCGCGTTGTAAAAGACCCTCGCGATCGTCGGCTGCGCCGCTAACGGGACTGACCCGACGCTAAGTCACTACCACATCGCGCAGCACCACATCAGGCACAAGCTTGTCATCCACAATCACCAGCATGTCAAGCTCCACCTTAGTGCTCGCCCGCTGCATGATCGCCGACTGCGGCCGCAGTGATTGCAGATCGCTTGGCAGCCTGACTGGGCAGCTGGTCGGTCAGTTTGCCCAGAGTTTGCGTGGTCGACTCGTGATCCTTGCGATCAGCATCGCGATTGGCGTTCCAAAGGCTCCGAGCCGATCTCGTGGCCGTGGCCTGCCACGAGACTGGGACCGACTGGACGCTAAGTCACCACCACGTCGAGCAGCACCGCTTCGGGCACAAGCACCTCAAGCTGCATCCTCAGAAGCATCCTCTCCGCGGGCTGTGGCCGGCGACCCCGAGATGCCACTGCAAGATGAGGTACGAGGTCGGGCTGATCGAGCAAGCTCGAGCGATGGACCCACGGATGCTATAGCTTCACGGTTCAGCTCTTTCCGAGGTGCGTCCTCGTATCGGGGGTTCGAGCCTGGGTTCCAGAGATGTCTCGATCGAGACGCCGAGCGAACAAACAGCGCCGCACCACCTGTCTGGAACCCCTCCCCTCAGACGGTGGCAGGCGGGATGAGGGAGCCTGGAGGAGGGCAGAGGCATGTGAGAGGAGGGAAGAGGGAGGAGGGAGGTGGAGAGGATGGACGAGAGAGGATGGAGGGTGGACGACGGAGAGAGGAGGAAGGAGGGAACGCGGGGAGAGCGAAGATGAGGAGGAGAGGGTGAGACCAGGCGGGAGACTTGAGACGCGAAGGAGCAGAGAAGGAGGAGGGGGATGGAGGAGAAATCAGGCGGGAGGACTTGAGGTGATATGGCTTTGGGGTGCCTCACCCCCCGTTAGTGGGCCCAGTTCCCTGGTGACACCACCCTGGCGGACACGGTAGCCCGACGGACCAACATCCTCTGGTGTGCGGCGCGCCCTGGATTCATAATTTCGTCCTTTCGTGTGCGGCGCGCCCTGGATTACTAAATCTTCTGGTGTGCTTGCTCTGCGGCGCATCGTGGCACGACTGTAGATAGTGCTGCCACGAACCATCACCAGATGTCATACACGCGATTTGGGAAGCGCACAGACGACGTCCATCGGAACCCAGAGGTCGTGTGGGGGGGGGGGCAAGATTTGTCCACTCCCGTTGTGCCTCGCGCGGTCCGCACCGTAACCCTAAGGGAGCCGATAAGGAGGGATCGGGCAGGCCGAAACTCGACTGCACAATTTCCGTCAGGCATCAAGAGGCCCCGCAGTGACCGGGAAATCATTTTCACGGGTTGTTGTTCCGTTCGTTTTTTCTTTGGTGCCAGAAGATCATTGGCACCACATGATGAGGTGGCATGACACTTTGGGCCTTTGATTTGGCAAAGGGAGGGAAGACAGAGAAGGACAAGTGAGGTGCTCAACCGCAGGCAGGAGCAGGGGGGCTAAGGGGTTGTCACAGTTTCCGCCAGCTCCGTGCGAGAGTTGGTTGCGCGTTCCAGCGGAGGTGGTCTCCGTCTGTTCCCTCGCACGATCGGCGATGAGGGCGTCTGCCCAGGACTCGGAAGAAATGCGCGCGCGGGCCCTGTTGATATGCCCCGACCGTTTAGTGGGCGCGTGTGTGGCGGAATCTGGGTTCCCGCGCAGCTCACTGGGAAACGGTCGTAAGCTCTGCACGAGAATGGGGGGAAGTGCGGAGGGGGGGGGGGGGGGGCGATGCGCGCGGCAAGTGGTGACTGGGATGTCTGAGGCAACTGGGAATAATGAGGGGGGCGACAGATGGGAGCGACAGATACAATTTGAAAAGAAGAGAGGGAGAGAGAGAGAGAGAGAGAGAGCGGAAAACAAAAAGAAAGACATACCACATATTCAGAGCAAGGCGGAGACGGGGGGATACTCTCCCCGTCATATCGCAGGGCCACCCTTTGAGTTCGGGTGCTGCTCGCGAGTGGATCTATCCCAGGAGTGTTGCGTTTCATTGGACGTGAACGAGTTCAGGCAATCTTTGCCGAGCCTCCTGGGCGCCTTGGTTTCCGAATCAACCCCACAACTGCTGCACATGAACATGATTCCTAAAGCGTACGTAGATACGTGCAGCGTGTGGTTTCGGGTGTTCAAAGCCAGGTTGGTGGAGGGATTGTTGCACCCCCTGTGTGGGGACGGCGTTGGCGAAGGCTGACGCGTGCCTTACTTTGGCAAACCGAAGGCAGCCCTGTCATGCCCAACGGGGTGCGCTTCCGTGCCCGCGCATGGCTTCCCACAGTGGCTGCTGCGTCATCTGCCGCAACAGCTGCTGGCGGCGGCGGACAGCATTTGTCTGCCTAGCCAGGATTGCAACCCCGCCTGCCGGGCGGTTGCGGTCCGACTTGATTGCTGGATTAAACATCGGAAGTCAGCCGAGGCCGACGTGCGCCTCCGAGCCATTCGAATGTCGTGCGGGTCGTCGAGAAGAATCTCCTGTAAGAGAATCCCGCGAGTCCTGAAATCGTCCTTCCTCTAGAAAAAAGGGGCGGACCTTGGTCCGGGCAGCCCCACTGAACGCACAGGAGGGCGTCGCCGCAGAGCTCCTGGCGGGAGGACCAGAGCAGACAGACATGTGGCCTGGGCCACTGGGGTAGCGTTGCCCCTCCTACGTTCTCACCCCCTGCTTCCGCGCCAGGCGGCGGTCTTCTGGTCCCTCGCCCAGAGGCGGCGCCTTCTCCTCTGGGGCGGCGCCGCTCGGCGGCAGCGGGAATGTCTCGGGCATCGTGGCCCGCGGGTGCCGCGGCCGCGCCCGGAAGTCCCGGGGGCCGACGCGGGCGGGGCCGCCGCGGGCGCAGCCGCGGCGGCGCCGTCGTTCGCCCTCTCTTCGAGCTCTTTCTTTGTGGCGTTCTCGACCCTCTCGGAGGACGCCGCAGTTTGGAAGACTTTCTGGGCAGAGCTCGCCCTCGGGCCTCTGCCCAGCACTGCGGGCGTCGGTTGCGGAGGAGGTGCGCCCTGAGTTGAGCCTGAGCCTCGTCAGGGTTCTCCGTCTGGACGTTGATGTCGGGGTGCTGACGGATGAAGCCCAGAGTTTCTGCAGCTGTTCGTCTTCCTCTGGGGCCGGCGGGCCCGTCTGCGCCCTCGAGGCCCCTCGGCTGCTCACGGGCGGCGCGAACCTCCACGGCGCTGGTTGGCGACACGCCAGGCGTGAGGACGGAGGAGAAGGGGGGGGGGGCGGGGGGAGCAGCCCCTTCCCCTCGCTCCAGTCCCCAGTGCGTGCCGCCGAGCCCTCCTCCCTGCCCGCTCCACGCCTGCCCCACAGCATCCGCCGTCATGCGGCCTGCGCGGCGAGGGCCCCTGGGTCCCGCGACCCCCTCCGAGGGGGGGCCCGTCCTCCGTCCTGAGCTGCTTATTGACGATCCAGGGGCGTTCGGAGCGCGCCCCCTGGGAGCTCCAGACTTGGAAACGTCATGGCGCCGGATGTCTGGCCAGGACTTCGTGGCAGGTCCAGCCGAAGCGACGCGTGGGCTCACCGAGGGCCCAGAGGAGGAGAACGAGGAAGAGCAGCGTTGGCGGAGACCAGGAGGCCTCTGGAGATCCCTAGAGGAGGCCAGACCCCCCCGGTGGCCCCCAGTGGCTTCCAGGGGCCTCTGGAGCCCAACCAAAAACCCAAACGCTTTAAAGCTTCGCCCCTCCTTCCTCAGTCCTCCTCTTCCCTCCTCCTCCCCCCTCCTCCTCCTCCTCCTCCTCCTCCTCCTCCTCCTCCCCCCCTCCTCCTCCTCCTCCTCCTCCTCCTCCTCCTCCTCCTCCTCCTCCTCCAGCCCTCTTCCTGCTCAAGAATTCCTTGTAGCACCGCCAGACGTGGCGGTAGGACGTGCTGGGTGTGTCGCCTGTGCAGCTGGGAAATCCCAACAACTACACGCACGGAGCATGGGTGGTTTTCCAGCGGCGGCTCTCGCCCACGCGCCGCGCGCAGTTGTTTCAGAGCTCCACACAATTACGGCTAGGAGCGTTCGCTTAGCGTGTCGCGCCGCCGGTTCTCGCCCAGCACGCTCCGGCGCGGCGCGCCGAGCACGGCCCAGTCCCCGGCGCGTCGGCGTCCCGAGCTCCTTCCAGCACGCCGCCCCGCGAGGCAGAGCGACCCGCCAGCAGCAGCCTGCAGGGCACAGCGTGTGCCGCAGCGGCCGCCGCCGCGGCCCGCTGAGCAGAAGCCCCTGACGGTAGCGTGGTGGAGGGCGACGCGCGTGGGTGCAAACATTCTGTGGACGGCACCCGTTCTGTACACTACACATGTTGGCCGAGGAAGGAGGGGATGATGATCGCGTAGCTTGTATTCCACGCGTGTGGCCTATGCTTCACTTGTCTATCGCGCGGCAGGCTGAGGTAGCCGGAGGCTCCGTCATGTGGCCCGCTCTCGTCGTCTCCCCCAACAAGTCTTGTTGACTAAGTATAATGGAGGCGGATCGCTTTCTACCCAGAACTCGGACGTCACGATTTTTCACACCGCGGAACCCTGGAGGTCCAGACCCCCTCCCCGGGACCTGTTTTCACCGAGCCGTTTCTTGACGGCCCCAGGGCCTGGTGAGGATCGAGCCTTCGGAGGCTGACCAGAAACCTCCCGCCGTGATTGGTTCACCACGAGAGGACGTGGGGATACACGCGAGCGACGCAAAACAAAGGGATCGTCTGCGCCGACAGTGGCGCGTAGGCTGCCCGCGCAAGGTCGCGCGTGAGCGCCCTCGTCTCCAACTTGGGCGTGCCGCGCTGGCGGCCCGCGTGAGCCACCGCGTCAGGTCGATGTGCCGTCGTGCGCAAGACCCGATTTTTCTCGTCGCCCACGCGGCCTCTCGCCTCAAGGCGCCCTGCGCCCGAGGCCCGGGCCGAGGCCCGGGGCTGACCGGCCGGCGCCGCCCCCCTGGCCCTTCTCGGCGGCACGCCGAGGCATCACGGCAACCTCGACCCTCACGCCGTGCGTGGCCGGCCGAGAGGGGGGGGGTGGGGGGGAGGTCGGGAGGCGCGCGGCTGGCGTCAGTGCAAACGGGGGTCAGCCAGGGCGCCGGGTCTTGCAGGGTCGTGCAGAGCCAGGGGCGCACGGACCCGGGCTTGGGTGCAGGATCCTGCAGGATCCTGCAGGGCTGAACTGACCCCGGTTTGCACTGCTGGCCCGGGTCCGTGGATCCCCGAGGAGGTCAGAGGCAACGTTAGGAGGGGGAATAGGCTCAGGGGGGGATACATCGACCTCCAAGCGCTCATTGATCGCCGATGGGGGCCTGGTAGTCCACCCCGCCCAGGAGCGTTCGGACTCACTATTGGCGGCCTGTCGTTGCTCTACTGGCGATGTGTCGCTGATTCCAGCTCGATGTTGTTCCCCCTGAGCCGGTCCCTCCTAACGTTGCCCTCAGGAGGGGGCTGGGGGCGGATCCTCGAGGGGTGGCACGGGGGAAGGGTCGGAGGGGGCGCGGGGAGGCGGAGGACGGAGGTTGAGGAGGGAGCAGGAGCAGGAGGAGAAGACGCTGCGATCATCATCCGATCAGAGCCCGTGCAGCGTCGGAAAGGGTGCTGGTGATGGCGGTGTTTTTGGTGGTGTTAATGATGATGAGGAGGATGATGGTGAGGTTGATGATGCTGCTGATGATGCTGATGATGGTGATGATGATGTTGCCGCTGATCAGGATCATCTTGATGACGATGATGATGCTGATGATGATGCTGATGCTGATGATGCTGATGACGATGATAACAATGATGATGCTGCTACTGATGATGGTGATACTGTTGATGATGTTGATTATGGTGATGATGATGATGATGATGATGATGATGATGATGATGATGATGATGCCGACGCTGATGCTGCTGCTGCTGATGATGATGCAGAGTATGATACTGACTATAGTGATGATGCTAATGATGATGATGCGGATGACGCTGCTGCTGATGATGCTGACTATGAGGATTATGATGATGCTGATGGTGATGACGATGATGATGCTAATTATGATGATGATGCTGATGCTGATGCTGATGCTGCTGATGATGATGATGTTGATGATGATAATGATGATGCTGATGATGATGCTGATGATGATGATGGTGCTGTTGATGATGCTGCTGCTGATGATGCTGTTGATGCTGCTGCCGCTGATGATGCTGATGATGCTGCTGCTGATGATGATGACGATGATGATGATGATGCTGCTGCTGATGATGATGATGCTGACGACGATGACGATGACGATGACGACGATGATGATGATGCTGATGATGATGATGATGATGATGATGATGGTGGTTGTGATGGTGATGATGGTGATGATGGTGGTGATGATGATGATGCTGATGATGCTGATGATGCTGATGATGATGATGATGATGATGATGATGCTGCTGATGATGATGATAATGATGATGATGATGATGATGATGATGATGATGATGATGATGATGATGATGATGATGATGATGATGATGATGATGATGATGATGATGATGATGATGATGATGATGATGATGATGATGATGATGATGATGATTGGGAGGAGGATGAGGAGAGGAGGAGGAGGAGGAGGAGGAGGAGGAGGAGGAGGAGGAGGAGGAGGAGGGATAATGGTGAGGAGGGAACGGCAGGGAAGAGGAGACCGCGCAGACTTCCCCCCCCCTCCCTGCACACCCCCTGTGGAGACCCGACGGCCGCCCCGGGAGGCAGGCGGAGGCACCCGCGCCCCGCCCCCTGGCCCAGCCTGCTCGGCTCCCCGTGGCCGCGCAGCCCTGACGACCCCCTTTGGGCGCCGCCTCGCCCTGTGCCTGCACACTGTTCATGTCTAATTCTTCGAAAGGTCGTTGATTTTTTTGGGGGGCCCAAGATCCTATCATTTCTACTTGTTCCATCCTGAGCCTCTTCCTGGCCACTAGGGGGCCAGGAACAATTAGAAACGAGCGCACTCAGAAATGAGCACGATTAGAAATGAACGACGTGTACCTTGGCTGCCGTACGCCAGTGTTGAGACGAGACACGTGCCGCGTTCCGCGTACGTGCCAACACGCCGCGCGTGGGCTCGGCACGTGTCGGTCGACGTCTTGGCGCACGTGCCGCGCCGAACGTGCGTTTTCGGTCTGCGTGCTGCGGTGCTGCGTGTCGACACGCTGCGTGTTTGCGTATTGCGCATCGGGCTGAAACTAGGTATCTCCAGTGGCTTGGGGCCCATCCCGCCACGGTGCGTGGGTTGTGGGTCCGAGTTCTCAGGGATGCTTCTTGGGACCTCTTCGGAGCGCTCTCGGGGACATCTTGAGTGCAGGTATGGGGGGGGCCTCTTGGGGGCCTCTTGGGGGCCTCATGGGCGCCCAGGCCGCGCCAGCGAGGATGGGGATCGGTTAAACGATGCTCACTCGCGTCGCGACAAACTCACGACGGTAGGTTTCTGGCCGTTTTCGGATCCCGGGGGCCCTCGCCGGGCCCCGAGAGAGTCGAAGAACGAGTCGGGTGAAAAACCGGTCTGGGGGAAGGAGTCGAGACGTCCGGTGGTCCACGCTGTGAGCAAACTCATGACGTCGGGGGTCGTGGCGGCGCTCGCCCGGCTGTCCGTGTGGCACCGCTTCGAGGCCGATGCCAACTGCCCTGGGGCCGCTTGAGGTGCGGTGGACATGCCCAGGACATGCTTGTTTATTCTGTGAGTCCGTAGCGTCTGTTACGGAGGGTGGGCTCTCCATCCACCCTCCCCGTAAAGGTACCGAACGCACGCGGGGTGGGGGGGGGCGGTTCCCCCACAGGCATGGCGCGGTGCTCACAGACATGCTGTGGTGCTGGCTGGCGTGACTGGTGCTCGCAAGCATGCTGTGGCACTCGCGACTTCCCCCATAACGGGGGATAAACAAGCAATCTCCAGATATCCGACGGTTTGTTTTGTTCAATCCAAGTCGGTCTTCATCGATTTTAGCCGTTGGGGCCAATTTTTGGCACCAGAAAGCTTCGGGTGCAATCCAGGACGCAACACAAGAGCTGCAGGTGGAGGGTGGAGCCTGAAGATGAGCAGGATGAGGATGGGAATGATTGGGAAGCATGGGGCGAGGGGTACGATGGGACCGAGGGGGAGCATGAGAAGAGGTAGGAGGAGGAGGAGGAGGAGGGGGAGGAGGAGGAGGAGGAGGAGGAGAGAGGAGGAGGAGGAGGAGAGGAGGAGGAGGAGAGGAGGAGGAGAGGGAGGAGGAGGAGGAGAGAGGAGGAGTAGAAGTAGGATAGACGTAGGAGTAGGAGGATGAGGAGGAGATGAGGGGAGGAGGAGGAGGAGGGGGAGGAGTAGGGGAGGAGTAGGAGGAGGAGGAGGAGGAGGAAGGAGGAGGAGGAGGAGGAGGAGGAGGAGAGGAGGAGGAGGAGGAGGAGGAGGAGGAGGAGGAGGAGGAGGAGGAGGAGGAGGTGAAGGAGGAGGAGGGGGAAGGGGAGGAACGATAGGAGAGGCGGGAGGATGGGGACGAGGGGAGGAACAGAGGATGGGCAGAATGAGGAGGACGGACAGGATGTAGGGGCAGGAGGCAGGAGGGAAAGAAGGACAGGCAGTAATCATGAGGGGAGAGGGGAGGACCAGGATTCAGGGGAGCAGTCGGAGGAGAGGGGGACGTTGAGGAGTTGAAGGAGAAAAAGGAGGAGGAAAGGAGCGGGGGAGGGGCAGAAGGATAATGAGGGGCCTTGGTGCTCCAGGTGGATGTAGTGCCGGATCAGCTCGGATACACGGGGGTGCTTGGCTGGGAAGACAGCAACGGCTTCGCCTGCGAGTGGTACGCCGGCTCCTCAGCAGAGCTTGGCTGCATACAGGTCTTGTGACGTAAGCCCGTGGTCCTATAGTTATTCAGATTTTCCTCCCTCCCTCCCTCCTCCTCCTCCTCCTCCTAAGAAGGAGGAGGAGGAAGAAGCCTCCTCCTCCTCCTCCTCCTCCTCCTCTTCCTCCTCCCTCCTCCGTCCTCCTCCTCCTCCTCCTCCTCCTCCTCCTCCTCCCCTCCTCCTCCTCCTCCTCCCCCCTTCTTCCTCCTCCTCCTCTTCTTCTTCTTCTTCCTCCTCCTCCGCTTCCCCCTTCTCCTCCTCCTCCTCCTCCTCTTCCTCCTCCTCCTCTTCCTCCTCCACCCCCTCTTTCCCGCGCGTCTTTAGCCGTTCGTGCGTCTCGCTGCGATGCGGCTGGCCCTGATCCTGCGGGCTGGGGCACCGATCTGCCTGACCCGAGCTCTCACGGGGGTGCCGCACCAAGTTTGACAACGCCTGCTTCCCGGGCACCAGCCTCGCGGCCAGCTTCGCGAACTACGGCATGACGGCGAGCGAAGCGTGCTGCGCCTGCGGCGGCGGGATGAACGGACCTCGGTGGCACGAATGCATGCTGTGTCACGCTCCCCGCGCTTGTCTCGCATGGCTCCGATCGTGGTAGTGCCCGCGCGGCCTGTGCTTCGCCGCCCACGCGGCGGCCCAGAGGTGGCCTGGACCTTCCTGGAGCCATCCCCCGCAGGTCTCTGGATATCTCCCGAGGATGTCAGAGGGTTCCCGCGAGAGAGGAGGAGGTTGAGGAGGCGGAGGATGATGACGATAACGATGGTGACGATGATGACGATGGTGACGATGATGATGATGATGATGACGATGATGATGATGCTGATGACGATGATGATGCTGATGATGCTGCTGATGATGATGATGCTGATGGTACTGATGATGGTGATGATTGTGATGAGGATGGTGATGATGAGGACAATGACAATAATAAGGATTATGATGATGAGGATGCTGCTGATGATGACGGTGATGATGCTGCTGATGCTGCTGATGATGATGTCCATGCTGATGCTGATGGCGATGATGAGGGTGACGATGTTGATGAGGAGGATGGGGATGGTGATGGTTATGCGAATCGTAAGAAAAATTATGATGATGGTGATGATGGTGATGCTGCTGCTGCTGCTGATGATGATGATGCTGATGTGGATGCGTGTGATGATGGTAAGTCTGATGATACGTGCGACGATCAGGATGAGGATGAGGATGATGCTGAATAACACGATGATGCTGCTGATGATGATGCTGATGCCGATGATGCTGATTATGATGATGCTGCTGATTATGATGATGCTGATGATGCTGATGATGATGCTGAGGAGGAGCAGGATGATTCTGATGAGGAGGATGATGACGATAGTGATGATGATGATGATGATCATGATGATGATGATGATGATGATGATGATGCTGATGATGCAGATGAGGATGAGGAGCAGGATGATACCGATGACACTGATGATGACGATGACGACGATGCTGATGATGATGACGACGATCACGACGTTGATGATGATGATGCGGCTGTTGATGATGAGGAGGATGATGCCGTTGACAAGGACGACGACGAACGACGAGGAGGTCCGATGAGGATCCAGCAACGAGCCTAATTGGAGCTGCCCTCCTCCACCTTTTCGCCACCTCCCCTCCCCCGCCCTTCTTACGTTTTTTTCCGATACTGCCCTGGCTGACCCTTCTGCTTCCCGCTGTCCCTCTTCGCCTTCCCGGTGGAAGGTGAAGGGAATGGACGACTTCGAGGGGTCGAGAAGGCAGCACCTCCTTCGAGCTGTCGAGAGGTCGGTACCTCGCCCTCGGCGGAAGGCGGCGGACGTCATCGAAACGACGGTGGGTCCAGCCGGCGGGCGTCGCTGGACGTGTGAAGGCAGACCCCTTCAGGAGAGGTCAGCGGCGGAGCAGAGAGGGCTTCCGGAGTCGGCCAGGCAAAGGAGTGAGCGGAAGCGTGAGGAGAAGAGGGGAGGCCAGCGCATGGGTGAGATTTGCGAGACTGCGAGGATACTCATCTACGACGGAGACTGGCACCACCACCTCGCACTGCGAAGACTGGAGGCCTGCTTCAGGCGACCTCGATTGCATGCACGCCTTCTTGGCTGCTGACCTTGATCGCCATGGTTTAGCGAGATTGCTACTCGCAGTCTGTGGCCTTGCTTTGGCGAGAAAGGGGGTGGTCGCCATCACAATTTTCTCGGTCACTCACGCTCTGCCGGTTTCGTGCATGTGCTGCTCGCCCCCTGGGAATTGTGTACCACCTGGAGGAGGCTGAGGAGGATGATGATTCGGCGGCCAGGTGGGGGGGGAAGCGAGAGGGGGCGGGCCTTCGCAGAAGGCTCACAAGTCCTCCGGCCTTCTGAGAAGTCTTCAGAGCCTTTCCCGAAGACAAAGAAAACTTCTCAGAAGGCCAAGGCGCTTCTTAGAAGCGCCGCCGCCTTCTCCGAAGTCCTTCTGCTTCTCACTTCCCCCCCCTCGCTCGCCGCCGATGTGGGTCCTGCGTCGCCAAAACATAATGGGGGGAGCAGGACGAGGAGGGCGACGGGGCAGCAGTATTGTCGGAGACGGGGACGCCGATGATGGTGATGCTGATGATGGTGAAGATGGTGATGATGATGCTATGATCATGATGCCGCTGATGCTGATGCTGATGCTGATGCTGATAGTGATGCTGATGATGATGGTGGTGCTGATGATGATGCTGATTATGATGATGATGCTGATGATGATGAGGGTGATGATGCATGTGATGAAGATGGTGCTGTTTTTCTTTGCAGTGGTGGTCCATCAGACCCACTGCCCCCTGGGGTCCGGGCCGAGTCGCCTCCGCCTGCCCAGCGCGGGCAAGCGGCGCACAGGGCAGCTCAGCAGCTCAGAGGCTCTGCTTCTTCTGCGTCTTCTTCTTCTTATGCGCCTTCCCCTTCTTTTCCGTCTTCTTTTTCTTCTTCGTTTTTGTCTCCTTTTCTTCTTTTTCTTCTTCTTCTTATTTTTCTTGTGTTTCTTCGGCTTCTTATTATTCGTCTCGTTCCAGTCTTCGACTTCTCCTTCTTACTCTGATCCTTCTCCTTCCTCTTGTTTGTCCCGTTCCAGTCCTTCTCGAGTTTCGAACCTCCTGGGCGCAGCCCCTGCTCGATCCCCGCTAGATTCTGCCTGCCCGCCTGCCCGCCTGCTTCATGATGATGATGCTGATGCTGGTGCTGATGCTGATGGTGGTGGTTGTGGTGATGGTGGCGATGGTGATGGTAATGCTGATCATGGTCATGGTGCTGGTGATGGTGATGGTGATGGTGATGGTAGTGGTGATGATGATGCTGATGATGATGCTGAGGATTGATCTGATGATGCTCACGATGATGACGAAGACGAAAAGGAGGATGAAGAGGAGGATACTGTGAGGACGAGGAGGAGGTTATAGCCTTTGTGCAGGTCCATACTACCTTCTCCTACTTGCACTCCTGTGGTCTGGTCTGATCAGATGCTGCGTGGTCGGTCCAGTCTGGTATGGCCAGAGCTTTCGTAGTCTTGTCGGGTACTGCGTGAGATCATCTGGTCTGGAGAGGTGAAGTCGAAAAAGGAGAAGGAGGAGTGTGGGGTTGGGTGGGAGGAGGGGGGGGAGGAGAAGCAGGAGGAGGGGGAGGAGGAATAGAGAGTGATACGTACACGTATGTACATATTTGGAGGATCCCGGCCGGGGGCCCCGGGGCCAGGACCTCCCTTGCACTTCGGCCCCCCTTCTCCCTGGGGACTTCCCCGGGCGACCCCCGAGGGTTCCAGAAAGCACGAGCATCTTCCCAAACGGCCCAAGATAGCCTCCGACTGGCCCTCGAGGCCCCCACGAGCGCCCCACGAGAGTTCCAAGACGGTCTCAGGTGACACCGCGACAGCCCCAAGACACCCCAAGACGCCCCAAGAGGCCCCCAAGAGGCCCCCCAAAAGGGCCCCAAGAAGCAACTTCCGTCCCATTTCCATTGGAGAATGTATTGTTAGCAGATTTTCATCTTAGGCTTTCACAGCGTCCAGGGCGGCCCAAGAGGCTCCCAAGACGGCCCAGGAGGCCCCCAATAGAGTTCGAGGACGAGCCAAAACGGGCCCACGACGGCCCAGGAGGCACCCAAGAGATGGCTCAAGAGCGCCCTAGGACAGGCCCAAGGGGGGTCCCACAGGGGAAAAACCAAGTTCACGTTTCGAGCAAAAGGGTCCCTCAAAGAGCCAGAAAGCACCAAAACGCTCCCAGCACGCCGACCAATGCTTCGAAACGGCTCAAGTGGCCTCCAAGACGCCCAAGAGAGCTTCAAGCTGATCACCGAGAGAAGCCCCCAGGGGCGACAAAAAGATCCCCCTTGGGTTTTTCAATGATTTCCGTGTGGTCGTCTGCTCCGCTTCCCGACGCCCAGAGACCGCACAAGAGGCGCCCAAGTGGGCCCCAAGACACTCCAATAAGGAGCCAAGACGGCCCAAGAGGC